ACACATGGTAAGTTATCTTAGGTCATGGGGAAAGAGTGAACTTATTAATTTCTCCTCACAAGGCAAAAATTTCTGCTGCAGAATTTAACCCCTGGCTACCACACTGGAAACAAACCTCAATACTGGAATAGTCCCAGAGAAGCATCCCAAAACTCCTTGAAAACTTTGGGAAAATTCCTGGAAACTTTCTTGGGGGAATTCCTAGAAGGCACTTGGGGGGCATTTCTAAAACACATTGAAGAAATTCACAGAAAGCATCATGGATAATTCTCAGAGAGCCTTCAGTAAAATTCCTAGAAAGTATCTCTGCTGAGTCCTAGAAAACAGGTGGGAGAATTCACAGAGTAATCTAAATGCAATTACAAATATTTCAGTTGAGCATCATTTCTTCCCCTAAGCCACAAGCATGTTAAAGGTTTGGACATAATCAAGGCTGACAAAAGAAAGCACCAGAGTCCTTAGTGATTTGCAGAGGATGGGGAAATGTTTCTTTCCTGGCCCTGTGAGTGCTGGAGCATCACCTGCAAGACCCATCCAATATGTCTGGATATCTACTTCCTGGGGAAATTAAGCCCAAATTTCAATTTTTTTTTTTAAATCTCTTCTGTATTAATGGATTTTCACATACTTGCCTGCACACCTTCAACCATAAACAGCTCCATGTATTTTAAGTCATAAAGATTCATTAACTATAAATTCGAAACAGATCCTAATTTCAGTATTTGTAGCTACTTCTGAACATAAAAGTGATTCAATGAAAAAGCAGTAATGTGAAGTGTGTAGGCACTGATTTTTTTCCCACCATTATGAGATGCATAATACAAACCATATATATTCTTTCTTTCTTCTGGCTAGAGCCAGAAAACCTTAGGAGTATGAGGTTTATAAGCAAAATAAAATAGAAGTTGCTATATGGTATGATGCATGACCAAAGCTAAAACAGAAGATAAAGAATGAAGAGTTAAATGCAAACTTCGGTTAATTTGCACACAAATCAATGCAAACATCCAAATCAATCACCTAAGTATACACTCTAATCACTAGGGGATATATAAAAGCACTGTTCCAAGGGCGTGACCCACAAACCTTTGCTGATTTATTAACTACAAGAGAGGTCATGAATTTTAATAAACTGTTCACACTTCTTCATTCAGTCAGGCCATAATCTGAATGTTGTTTATTGTAAATTGTTTAAAGAAAGTGTTTGAGTAATTTTTACATTTCATCATGGCATTTAAAGCCAGTAATGCTTTCCATATACCTCCCAGATAAGCATTTGGATACTGTAAAAGTAAGTAAACATATGGTCTCTCTCATGAAATTTCTTCAGAACTGGGGAAGAACCACTACAAAAAAGAAGAAACAAATATACAGGGACACCTGTGACTGTGATTAGATTTTTTTAATCATTTGGTTCAATGTGGGCTTTATCACTGAGTACTTCAAACCAAACCTGCTAGTGAAGCTTTCAAGTTTAACACTGGCACAAACAGGCTGGCAAACTCAGTTGGGTATCTGCAATTCAAGGTAGGGTTTTTTTTGGTCTGATCTATTTAGGTTCCTATGTGATGAATACCATTGTCATGGGCAGAATCTTTCACATCACTGTGTGTTCAATTTCCACAGCTGGCCCTAATATTTAATCTCTTCTGAATCCAGCTTATTCTCCTACAGCTGCTCTGAATTGATAATACTGACATAAGTAAAATTCACTTCAGTCTAATATTTGGCTTGCCTCTCAGCACCAACATGTTAAGTAAGGAAACACCATTCTGCAATATGCCTTTTGCTGACCACTGCTGCACTAATCACTTGCTGTAAAAGGAACTGCAGCCTTGCTGATGGAAACTCTGGACTTCTGGGCTGCTCCTTACCTCCTAGGAATATGTTTTCTTTCACAATCACTGCCAAGTTTTTAAATTACAGCCTTTCCACCTTCTGCTCATACAATTAGCTGAAAGATACCAATGACTTCAATAACAAAGTCCTCCCAAAAAGGACTGAAGAGCTTTAAAAGGATAATGCATGAACATAGCAAGGTCTCTGACAGCTGATTTCAGAAGGCAGTATGAAAAGAAAATAGAAAAACCACCTCAAGGCACAGGTACTTCAAAAGAAATTAATAACACAGTTTTCTGGGGGAGTTTGGGAGAGGGGCCGTGTGAGATCTACAAAAATAGTGTTGGTCAGATAAGGAAACATCAAATACCAGGACCAGGAAGAAAGCAGCAGATTCATTCATGCAGCATTTTTCCTTTAATTACCATGTCTAAGTGTTTATGTTATATATTGCCTATAAGAGTTTATGTATTATCCACTCCATTCATGGTTTGCTGAATCATGATGATTTGAGGTAAAAGTTTTTCTAAGAACGAAGCTAAAATAGCCCTAGATTCACCAAATTTATCTATACAGCATTCATCCTTTGATATCACCAAAAGTTATCTATACAGCATTCATCATCATTCAGTCTTAAGGTAAAAATAGCCCATACATTGATTACTATCATGGACTTTTCCTTGCTACATTGCAGATCCCTGTGAAACTCAAGCAAGAATTAAATGTCAATGTAAGAAGTCCTCAGCAAAAGTGGTAATTGTGTAAAACAAAATGCCAGAGTTGCTAACACCTTGGCTTAATATATGTGCAAAACACAAGAGGATTCTTTAGAAATGTCGCGGAAAAATGCCTTTTGTATTTAATTTACACTGTAGGTCTCTAATTGGCTCCCACGCCCTACCTTGGAAAAGATACAATCACATAGTGCTCTCTAGTGGCTGTCCGGCCAAAAACCTCTGCAGGCTGCACTCCCGTTGGAATAACACAATGTTCAGCTGCCCCTGTAGTCAGAGACAACTTAGAGAAAGAAAAGTGCTTCTGACAAAGAGGATCTCACCTAATACACAGATCTGTTTGCAGCAGCTTGCAGAAATGAGCTTGAAACACCGTTAGTTACAATGCATCAGAGCTGATATTTTGAATATGAATCAGAAAGTAAAAAAATGTTTGAATGAGAATGAACTTGGTATTTCACTATGTTTCCAGACGTTTTGACCTTACATCTTTAACACCTCACTGAGGAGTAGATGGTGAGTTAAGGCATAGACTTGGGTAATTCCTGATGCAGAGAAGGTGGCAAGTAACTGTTACATTCCTTCTTTTCCCTTGCTGAGTGTGATCACATTCCTGCATGTTTAGTAAATTGTTGTGAAGCTGTTTTAAAACCAAACTGCCACCTTTTCCAGATGCATGAGCTGGTCAGTGGATATGAAGAAAGTTGGGGTCAGAGTCTGTAAAATTATCTACCAAGGAATTATCAAGTCTCGGGAGAGAGAAGGCATCTGTGTTTGCTTCAGCCTTCTGCACTGACTCAAAACTTGTTATTTCTTAAGGAATGAATTCCATAAATGCAAATATTGATGTGACTGGAATTATGCAGAACAAATCTAAGACATTTAATAATGCTTTAGTATACTAGGAGTCTCACCGGTTGGCATCAACACAGGGGACCTTCTGACTCTTTAACAAACTCCAGTTGTGCCAGGTTTTTTCCTTATCCTACAAACGGTGGTGCGAGGAGAAAACCATTCCCTTCTGCTCCATCCAGACTTCCCAGCTGAGAGGACCACATTACAAAATGTGTGCTTATTCTGGGCTAGTAAAACTATACTATCATACTGTGCTCAAAACACGAGTCATATACCAGGCCTGAGCTTTCCACATAGGAGCTTCATGTAAGGACAATGCAGAGCCCTGGGAAAATCCTGGGAGGCTGAAGACAGAGATAAAGCATATGGAGAGTTCTGGTTCACTGGGCTGACCCTCTTTAGGAAGTTCAGCCCAACATACAGCCAGCAAATGCAGCTGTCTGGAACCTGTACATACCACACCCCAGCCAAAAACAAGACAAAAAGTAACTGTTAGAAGTGCTCACTTGAATTTGTATGTTATGTAGGGAACCTTTTAAAAAAGCACATTTAGGTATGTTTCCAAAACTGAATGGCCAGGTGTTTGTCTCTAAGAATTTCATGGTATATTTATGAGTGCAAAAAGTACAAGTCAGAATACTCTACCTGAAAGGGAAATTCTGAAAGGGAGCATCCAAGTCAATCATGCCTTTCCTTACTGTCGAAATATGAAGCACCCCAGACAACAACTAACCCACATTTGATTACAGTGCCAAGTCAGAGTGGAAGTTCAGGGTAATGAAACAAAATACCCTGGATTATTTTTAGAGTAGTGCAACACTAAAACATAAAAACCCAGGACCTCTGCTGCTACCAGCGTTCAACTTGACTGTGTGACCAAGAAGAAAATAAAATAGAGTACTCCACTGTGATTTCTTTCTAAGATACAGAACTTTGTTTTCTTAAGCGTTCAGAAAGCTTTTCTCTACAGCTTTTTTAAAAACATGATTTATTTCTACTTTTCTACCCACATTGTAGGATTTGTAACATAATTTAAAAAAGAAAAATCCAGTATTAACAGATATGCCTTAAATATTTGAAGATGGAACTGAAAATTAGTTCCAGCTGTTGCCATGCAAGTGTCTGTAAAAACAAAAAGTGTATCCAACAAGCAGCTTTTAGAACAATAGCCCCACATCATAAACCTGATGAGTAAAACATCTGAAATGGATCAAATTAAAATGAATTACCTATTTTAAAAAATATAAACAGGATAAAGGGAAAAAAACATAAGAAACCACTTCAGTGATTAAAGTGTTAGCAAATGCAGATAAGATACTTGATTTGATATTATTTTCATGGTGATGCTATTTAGGAAAATGGCTTCAGAGTGTGCTCTCTTGTAATCATTACATGTCATTATATATGTTTAAACCAGCACTGAACTTATGAGTTTTATAGGACTAAAAGTTGCAATTCTTCCTGTGGTCTGTAACATTCCACGAGTGGAAAGGATGTGGACAGCTACACAAATATTTCAAAATTGCTAAGGAAGACGAGAGGGAATAATAAAAGAAATCCACCAAAACCAACCTTGTAAGTGAAACTGCAAACCAGAGAGGTTCTGTAATATGTCAGGAAGAACTGCATCCTTGGCTGGAACAGCACCTGAAGGAAAAAATACAAATTCCAGTATAGAGCAGAAGCTGCAGAGGGAAGAACTATTCCTATTATGTTAAGTATTAAGCATTTCTGCAGGATCAAGGCCTAAAGACTTAGTATGATCACTGCTAGTGATCCAGAATTACACCAAACAAAAATCCAAAGACCTGAGTTCTTTCGTACTCCCTTAAAGAGTAAAATAAGCAAAACTGGCTCATCTCTATCTTTCTTTGTTTCAATGAGATCAGAGTGGCATGAGTTGACCCCAATTTACTGGGGGTTAGACTTAGCTTTGGAGCAGAATTTATATATGGACAGCAGGAATTCCTGAAAAACAGGACACACAAGCTCTCATAAGCACAGCAAAGTCATCAGTGCAGTATGGATTTCAGCACGGCATTGCTGAAAGGTGAACAGGAAGGTGGCTGGTGTGTGTGTGGGGAGGAGGAGGCACTTGGCCATGGGAGCCCCTTGTATTCCTTCCTCTACCCCCTACCTTGGGAGCTTTCCCTCAGCTCATCAATAAAGGTATCCCATAGCTGGTTTTGGAGAGGCGCAGAATGGCTGCTGTGGTGCTGCGCAGAGATGCTGGCGGCCTCGTGGCGGGGGGAAGGAGCCTTGGGAGGCCATGTGGGCACCCAGGACCCAGAAGTGAGAGGCAGAGGGCAGGAGCTAGCACCCCTGTGTGAGGGCTGCCCCTCTGGCAGAAGCCTCCTCCTGAGCATGGTCAGGCAGTTACGGAAACTTCCGGGTATTATTTTCTGCAATATGTTGTGTGGACACACTTTATCTGTGGCCTTTCAGTTCTTAAAAAGGGCCTCTAAGAAAGATGGGAACAGACTTTTTAGTAGAGCCTGTCACAATAGGACAAGGGGCAATAGCTTTAAACTAAAAAGGGAGATTCATGCTGGATGTGATTAAGAAATTCTTTACAATGAGGGTGGTAAAACACTGGCACAGGTTGCCCAGAGAAGTGGTAGGTGTTCCATCCCTGGAGACATTCAAGGCCAGGCTGGATGTGGGTCTGGGCAACCTGATCTAGTTGAAGATGTCGCTGCCCATAGCAGGGAGGTTGGACTAGATGTCCTTTGAAAGTCCCTTCCAACCCAAACAACTCTATGATTCTATGTATGGAAAAAAACTGAGACAGCAATTGGAATGAAGAGTCTCAGAATGCCCACTTAGTTTAGCCTCTTTACTTTCTTACTCTTGTACCTGATACTTCACTAAATTTGTGTGCACAGCACCTCCCCTGACCCTTCCAGACTTAACAGCTATGACCCTTTTTCATTTCAGTCCCATTTTGCTAGAAATGGTCAGTTCACTGGCCTCCAAGAGCCAAACCACCTGTACTGATCCCAGTGTTTCAAACTTTGCCAACTTCACAGCAGGAAGCTAAAGATAAAAATGGAATCTACAGTGTCAGGAGTATCAAAAAATCTATGACACTGGGAATCTTTAATATTTCATAAGACCGAACCCAAAAGTACAACTATTTGTCTTATCTGGTAAGTTGGATATGGACAAAATATGACTTTGGAGAGCAGTTTAAAGCAGAAATCTCCCTTACACTACTTGCAGACCCAGATTTTATTTTTAAGGCAATTGATCAACGAAAGGAAAACACTGTGTGATGGCTGCAGAGAATGCTGAACTAATAACCCACAACAAAGTAAGCCTATCAGTATCCACAAAGTTCATCATACAACAGCAAAGAAGCCTTTTCTCCTGGTAGTACTACTTCCTTTCTTGCTGTCACCTTCAACACCTTTCACTTACTACTAAGTCTACTGATTACTTCCCCCAGCCTTCAACATCCTCCTAAGAACAGGAATATTTGGTGAAATGATTATTTTATCTAGTAACAGCTGCGCAGCTGCGTGGTATCAAGAGATAATAGATTAATTCTATTAATGGAAAGGTAGGCAGGTGTGTGCTTTTTTGAACACAAGAAATAACAGCTCTTTCACAATGGGCAATGGGAAGATGGGTACATCTCTGGGAAGAATTTTGAAGATTGATCCCAAGGAAAGAGTAATCTTAAAAGAAAAAGCAACCCACAAAACTCACCCAATATCATCCTACAATACTGAAAGAAAATGAAAGGTTGTTTCTACAATATTTTATTCCAACCCTCATTTCTTATAATGCCTTTCTATTTGATTCCTATTAAATACAACCTTAATTGATCATAAAAATAGAAATTTGCATTTAAACCTAGTTCTCAAGAAGGCAGGGTGGTGGTTATAATATTAGTCTGAAAAGGAGGCTCAATCCCCTGCTCTCACATTGCCAAACTGGGTGCACATTCCTACAAGGGGATGCAAATATTTTAAAACGATGGAATGGGATCTGTATTGTCCCAGTACGCTCATAAATAACCTGGAAAAGGGAGTGAACAAAGAGGTGAGAAAATTACTAATGAGATACAAAATGACTCAGGATGACAAAACCAAGGACCAGTTGTGAAAAGTTTCAGAGAAACTGTATTAAATAGGTGACTGCACCATAACATGACAGATGAAATTCAGTGAAGAGATTTCAGGCAATGTATCTAGGAAAAAAACAGATTCTAACTGATGGCTCTGAACAGTCATTACTGCTATAGAAACATGTCTTGTGACTGATATAGAACTAGGAAAATGACAGCTCAGTGGTGAAGAGTGGTTAAAAAACAAACAAATAAGGAATTACTCAGAAAGGAACAGACAACATTATATTGCCACTCCATATATGCATGATTCACCATCACCCTGCATACTATGTGTGAAGCCAGACCTCCTCCTCTCAAAACAGAATGGAAAAAGATGGAGAAAAAAAAGATGCAAAGGAGTAACAAAGATGATCTAGAACAAAATGTCTTCAAACAAAAGAAATTAGAGGATAGTAAACAATGCTAGCAAAGGCCAGTTTCAAAACAAACACGAGCTGGTGGTCCTTCACAAAACATGTGGCAAGGCTACAGAACTCCTTGTCAAAGCATATTGTGGATGCAGGAAATTTTCAGGGATTTATGGGGAGGTCAGCCAAGAATCGAGGACAGATCTATGCTGTGATGTACATACACATCCAGCAAAAGAAACTTAAAACAGCTGAAGAAGCATTGGGTGGAAGCATCATATATATGCATGCCCTTGGTGTCTGCTTGATTTGGTAGTGGGAGGACAACTAGGCCAGTCATGTCTTTGCTCTGCAGCTCTTCACTGCATAATCTGAGACAGGAGTAGAAGGCTTCTAAACACATTTGAATACTGTCCTGGGTTCAGCAGTAGCAGTCATGTTTCTCCTTCTTGGTAGCTGGTGCAGTGCTGTGTTTTGACTTTCGGTCTGGGAACAGAGCTGATAATGATGTTTTGGTTTGGCCAAGGTCTTTGTGAGCTTCATGTTCTGCCAAGGAAGAGGGGAAGCCAGGAGGAAGCAGAGACAGGACACCTGACCCAAACTAACCTAAGAGGTATTCCATACCACAGCACCTCATGCCCAGGAGGTAACTGGGAGCTACCTGGAAGGGCTGGTAGTCTGCAGGGTTGGAGGAGGTATCAGTCGGTGCTTGGTTGGGCTGGGGGGGGGCGAGTTATCGGTCAGCTGGTGGTGAGATGTTGTATTCTCTTCCCTTGTTATTTCCTTTATCATTATTATTATTGGAGGTAGCAGTAGTGATCTGTGTTATACCTTAGTTACTAAACTGCTCTTATCTCAACCCGGGGGAGTTGCATTCTTTTCGATTCTGATCTCTGTCCCTCCGGGAGTAGGGGGAGAGCAAGAAGGTGGGGGGAAGTGAGTGAACGACCTGGCTGGCTGGGTTTAAACCACGACAAATACCTACAGATGAAGACAGACTGCTACACAGCTTTTAGCAATTACTATTCCAATCCAAAACTATTTAGGAGATTTGGGATATTCTGTTGAGAAACTTCTATGTCTTTAGAATCCTAGATAAAGTAAAAATTTGGTTAAGTCTGACTGTACTTCTCAAACTACATCATCACAGTAACATAACTACATAATAGCTTGGGAAGTTCCCAAGTTCTAAGGCAAGAGAGAAGAGATTCAGAGCAGCCATGTGGAAAAGGACTTTGGAGTGTTGGTCAATGAGAAAATGAACATGAGCCGGCTGCAGTGTGCGCTCACAGCCCAGAAAGCAACCGTATCCTGGGCTGCATCAAGAGAAGCATGACCAGCAGGTTGAAGGAGGTGATCCTACCCCTCTGCTCTTGTGAGACCTCACCTGGAGCATTGTGTGCAGTTCTGGTGTCCTCAACATAAAAAGGACATGGAGCTGTTGGAACAAGTCCTGGGGAGGCCACGAGGATGATCAGGGGCTGGAGCACCTCCCGTATGAAGACAGGCTGAGAAAGTTGGGGCTGTTCAGCCTGGAGAAGAGAAGGCTGCGTGGAGACCTCATAGCAGCCTTCCAGTATCTGAAGAGGGGCTATAGGGCTGTTGGGGAGGGACCCTTCATTAGGGACTGTAGTGACAGGACAAGGGGTAACAGGTTCAAACTTAAACAGGGAAAGTTTAGATTGGATATAAGGAAGAAGTTCTTTACTGTCAGGGTGGTGAGGCACTGGAATGGGTTGCCCAGGCAAGCTGTGAATGCTCCATCCCTGGCAGTGTTCAGGGCCAGGTTGTACAGAGCCTTGGGAGACATGGTTTAGTGTGAGGTGTCTCTGCCCATGGCAGGGAGGTTGGAACTAGATGATCTCCAGGTCCTTTCCAACCCTAACTATTCTGTGATTCTATGATTCTAATTCTGTCACAGATTACTTTTTCCAGACCTCTGAAGTCCTGGTATATGACAGTCTGACAAACTATTATCCTCTGCCCAAAGTAACTGACACATTTTCATAACCATTGGCATGTTAACACTGCTGTTGTAAAATGTCTTACTAAAGATAAATTAAACTTTGGTATTTGTTATTTCAGATGCAGAAATAAAGACCAAATGGCAAAATTACCCTCTAAAATCATTACGTAATTCTATGCCTCCCTGGCAGGCACACCAGTAATTTCCTCTGTACAATAATGTTTCATCAGTGTATTCTCTCAGCTCCATCAGATATTTATTCAGCCAAATAAAGCACAAATTTCTGAGCTTAAAACCACTATTGAGTGCTTGCAGGATCATCCATTAGCTCCATGATTTCCTTGACAGCACAAAGGATTGCAGGCTGCCAATTATAATTTTAAAGAGCTCCCTATGGTCTTAACCAGAGCTCCCTATGGTCTTAACGAGAGCTCCTCATTGC